GTGTGTGTGTGTGTGTGTGTGTGTGTGTGTGTGTGTGTGTGTGTGTGAGAGAAAGGCACAACACACTTGTGCCTTTCTCGTTCCGTTAACATTTCTTAATTAACATACATCGATCTTAATGTAAGACCCACCACCCCTACTGGCTGCTTGTTTCTCTGTCTCTTCAGCCACGGAGCCTAATTCTTATGATTATTGGTTTTCCCAAATATTCGCTGGTTCCACCTTCTTTTCTCACTAAACTGAAGACCTCTCAGACATCACAGTGAGTAGGGATGGGAAGCCATAAAGTTTTTATTTGCTTATCGGCCCTATTCTGTATCGATTCTTGATTTTAAAATATAGTTATAGTGAAGTCAAACACTTCTTGATTGAGCCTGGTAGCTTTTATTCACAGTAGAACTCGGATGCGTCTCTTTATCCTGCTGCATAATATGAACAAGCATCTTGATATTAATCTTGATTAATATTCTATTATTCAAGTATTGTAGAAGATGCATTGTGTATACTATAGCAATAAAACCTCCACTGACGCAGAATAACGAGCTTAAAGAAATGTAAACCGATAAGAACCCACAGCAACATGTGGAAGTGGAGGCCTGCCAGCTGTTTGTTTGGTCTGGATGATCTTTGCTGCAGAACAGAGAACGGCTTCTTTAGCTAACGGGGGATTTGGTCGCTTGATGAGGAGACACTAATTAGAGGAACAGATTTTTTCGGCGGTGCGTTGGAGCCGTGACTGCCGGCTTTTCATCAACATTTGATTGAGCTTTAATTAACAGGCTGTTCCTCCGGTGACATGAATCCAAACTCATTACCTCTCAATTACGCTGCTGTCACATGACGCTGCGACGGTTCTGCTGACTCTGTGTGGATCAGACTGAGAGGAATCCGCTCTGTTGGACGGTGTTTTTTTTGGGAGACGGACCCTCCAGGCCCCCCCCCCCTCACTTTAAAGTGTCTGATTGAGCCGCTGTGTGGAGCATTATGTGGCTGATGGATAATTGGGTTTTTAACCTCGGAAAAATATTTTACCTCCTTTCACCACACACACACACACATAACCAGTGTAGCTTGAAATTAAGCCATCAGAACATTACAAAATATGGTGAATAAGTGTTTAGACTTGAAATATGTAGAAGTTGCCCTTTAATATAAACTCGCACGGACTCCCTCGTTTTCCCGTTTCCCTGAGCTGATGAACTGGAGACATTAGAGATGAAGACCTGGTTCTCTCAGACCTTGAATCAAAAGACCTGAAGAGACCAAAGACAGGTCCAGGATCTGAGAAGCTCCGGTTGCACTTCATTCAAGGGAAACTCTGCCGACTGTCAACCGGCTCCCGATGACGTCATCCGGCAGACTTTAGCTGAAGTTTCCCTTTAAGTTCCTTGAAGTGGAAAAGAGATTTTTCTCACATATATATTTTACACACACACTCGCATAATGAGGGCCACAGTGGGGCGTATCACAGGGTGTTGTTGGAGGAAATTTAATTAGCGGACGATAAAAGCTGCCGGCTGGTGCCAACCGACAGGAATCAGATCCTGTGACTGAATCTCTTGTTCTCTGGTCTCAGACTGTAAAGTGCAGATTCTCTTTATGTAAAATCAGATCAAAAGGGATTTTATAATAACACGACACACACGTTTATTATAGCGAGATGCAAACAAAACAGACATTTTAGAATAATTTGACATGCACGTCTTTTATTTATTATACATCCACTCACTGTTGTACGATACAGGATTGCACAATGAAACATCGTTGTGGCCTCAATGCTAAACACACAAGTAATTAAAAAATATTCAAATGGGATAAAACATTAAAGTAGGCAATTAAATAGGAAAAATATGTAAAAGCAGAAAGAAATAAAAAAATGAAAACTAAATTATATTTACAAGGAAGATATACAGTTAGACACACACACTGTCGTGCTGTATCATGTTTTTTATGTAAAGAGTATTGTTTTAATAAAAACAAAATATATATTTTTTGCAATTCATATCATTCTGTTAGCTGTTGTTGGTGGCTAACGAGAGTGTTCTTTATTCTAACAGACAGCGCAGAGTATAGTTTATAGAAGTACTCCGATCCTTTACTTAAATACCCTGAAACCTTTAAAAAGCATCCCCTGCTTTATGGTCTGTTTGACTCTAAATGGACCATAATGTACTAAATGAACATCATGCTGTATTGAAGAAGACTTGAAACTAGAGATTGAGACCATAAACTCATGTTTACAATGTTTACTGAGGTAATAAATCAAGAGAGAAGTAGAGTCATTTTCTCATAGACTTTTATACAACCAGAGGAGTCGCCCCCTGGTGGACACTAGAGAGAATGCAGCTTTAAGCATCGGCTTCACTCGGTAGAACCGGAGGTGCTGTTGGTAACTTGGCAGAGAGGATATTTAAAGGTGCGCGAATGAGACGATATTCATGCTGAATGTGAGCCAAGTAGAGTGAACGACTCTTTGGACCAGTTTGTTTTGACAAAAACACAAAAGAATCATTGAAAACACCAAACGGCTCCCGTCGATCGCTCTGAATGTAAAACCGAAAGCTCGGCCTTTCTTTGGAGTGAACTCACTCTGATCACATGTGTCACATATCAGAGCACCTCCTGCTTCTTGATCCAGCGCTGCTCTGCATACCAACAGCCTGTGAAGACCAGCTTTTTGTTGCTTTTCATTCACATTCAGCTCAGGTTATCAGCCTCCACCTGTTCTATTATTCCACTGTGCTCCCCGGATGCTGCTTCAGGATATCTATTGATTTTCCCCCCCCCCCCCGTCGTCTAATATGTGCTGTGGCTCAGCAGTTTGTAGTGCTCCTCCTTATCTCTCAGCCTCGTTGTGGATGTCTGAGTAACGTCACTGAGTGAGTCGCATATTAATGAATAAATGAGTAATTGTGATCGTATGACCCGCTGCTCTTTTGTCATCGGTGTCCTGATGGTGCGAGCCGATTCCCTCTCGTCTACTCGGCCGGCTTCTGTTGTGATTGTGGACGGATGTTGTGTGGATGAGGAAACTTTTACCGGAACGAACATGAACATCGAGAGTAAATGCACAGAAATGACGTGAGCTGTCAGCATCCGTCATGTGGAGACTCTGGATGGAAACATTAGTGACTGATGTATGTTAACGTATTAATAAGTCAATGTATATTTTTATAATAAGAAGATGAAGTATGAAGTATGTGTTGTGTGTCTCTGGTAGCGAATGATCAGCTGAAGCTTTATCGTGAGTTTTGAGCTCATTGTTTGTCTGTTCTGGTTCACTCTCATAGCGTAACTTGGATATCTACGTTATTACACGTTCATGTTTATTAATATATATTAATATAGTGACATGTGAAGCCCTGTGTGACTGCTAGTCGGTGTTTAAACTCTCATTCTGGGCCTCATCTCTCAAAAGACCAAAAAATACACGCACTATTTGGGCTGAAGAAGTGTTTCCCAGAAACGTTGTACCTGAAGACGCTTTTAGAAATGATGGAAAGATGACTTCTTCACACTGCGGGAGGAACCAAAGACTACATGTTTTTGAAGAGTTTACACACAAGCTGATAAAAAAAAATCCACAAAATTGCAGCGAAGACACCGAAACCTTTAAAGTAGAAAACCAGTAACGTCTCACCGGAAGATCAGTTTTCTCTGCATAGATACAGATTATAGCCGCCCGAATGGACGTGTTCGTACAAACGATAAATCAAAGAACGCAGTCATCTGACTCTTAACTCAGCAGCAGCTTCACTGTTAAAAAGGTGAACTTAATGGAGCTTTTAGCAGCTAAAGAGTGAGATTTCACTCAGGAGGTGGTGGAGACCAAAAAGAGAGATTAGACTCATCAGGTGATGCAAAGACTCGTCGTGAATCTGGTTTTGGTTAATATAACTTAAAGACACACACACACACACAACTTAACTGTTAACTTTAGTCAAATACAGATTCTCTGTTCACTATGTTGCCACCATTGTGAACCACATCCACCGGTTTAAAATGAGCTGGTTGAGAGCAGTGTGTCAGTTTACTCAAACACAAACATTCAGCTGCCGTCAACAAATCCACGTCGACACACGAGGCAATTAACAGCTGTGACAGGAAGTCAGTTCACTTCAACGGTTTCCTCAACAGAGTTGCAGGTTCATTAAAAATTATCAGCCAGAAATTTATGAGTTTAGGACTCGAGAGATGTGATGTGGTGTCTTATAATTGGTCTGTTTAAAGAAAATCTGACACATGAAGTTAAGAGTTTGGGAAAGTTTTCTGCAGATATTTTGAAGCACTTTTGTTTCCAAACGGTATATTTAGATAACTCTGGGTCAGACGTGTTGTTGTGTGCGTTCATGTGTTCTCATGTTAGACACCTGGTCAGTGTTTTGAGAGGTTGTCAGAGTATCCAAGTCTAATGAGTCCCGTGAGTTAAGCTTCCTTCCTGCTGTTTCTCGCCTCTTCTCTCTACTTTCACTGCCTCGTGTCCTCTTTCTGTCATCACGCTTTTCATCCACATGTTTGTGCACCAAACACATTT